CTGCCAGGCTGTGGTATGAAACGCCCCCCCACACCCTTCTGCCAAAAAAACCAAAAAACAAACAAACAAAAAAAACACGTTGGTGCCAGAGGACATATACTAGCCAGGAAGGTGTTCAAAGCCTTGAACATAACCAGATCCCTCCCTGTTAAATACCAGCTTAATATATATCCACCCCTTTGCTGGCAGCCAGCGGAGAGGAATACAGGATGCATGTAATATGATCATAGGATGGTTGCTCAGTCCAGTAAGCCAATGTGCTGCTGCATTCTGCACAAGCCGAAAGAGGCATAGAAGCCCTGCTAAGAGGGAACTGAGCTTTGTAATTACAAGATCATGTGCTGCTGTTGAAAAATGACTGTGGAATAAATAAGGGTGCAGGCTGCAGAAGTTGTGCAGCTGAAACACTGTCAAATAACAGCAAAACACGACTTTCCATGGAAATAGCATAGCAGAAAGAAATCTGAGGTTCTTAACGTGGAAAACTACAAGGGACATGAAAAGGGAGAGAGCAGCAACTATCTAGTAGCAAGACTTCTCCCTTCCCCAAGCAGACCTGAATATCTAGTAGGCAATATTATCCGGTCATTTATCCATGTCAAAAGGTGAACTAGAAAAGATTTTGTTAAGAGATCTTCTCTCTCTCTGTACATGTATGTGTACACACCCACACTCACACATGCCCTTGGGCAATCTGAAAGATAACACAGAGCCATAATGGATGCTGAATTGTAAATACAACAGTGACCATACATCAACATCATTGACTGACTTCTGTTTTCCCCAACAAAGGATTAAGCTTTGTGTGTTCTTGTACTTATTCAAAAGAAAGTGAAACCAAATGAGATTATAACATTAAAGAATCTCAGTCTTTTTTCAAAGAAAAATATATTAATAGCAGACAAACTCTCTCCCTTCCCCCCAATTTAAAATTTCTTCAGAAGGGGCCAACATATACTGTATATACATTTGCTTCAACAGCTGAAACTTGTGGCGAATAGAGTGTTGTCTGCTGATTAGAGCAGAGAACTGGGAGGACATCAATGTTCCCTCTAATTTTTGACAGTCCGTGTGCGCCAAAAATTTCTTCTGTGCAAATTGTGCTTCTGTGCAAATTTTTGTACGCGCGGTGTTTCACCGTGTGCGTGGGGTTTAGGATCTGTGTGCGCACGCACACATGCGCACAACTTAGAGGGAACAGTGGAGGACATACTTTTATAGTTTGGGACATACCACTCACTGACTGTGTAACAGGACCCTATACTTCTTGTGCTGCCTATAATCCAGATGGTTAGAAATACATATCCTATCTCAGCTGAACATCCCTTGTTAATAACAACGCATCTCAGGAAAGACGCAGTGTATATTACTGCAGGGCATGCTAATACCCATTAAGATTTGCTCAGTTTTTCCACTACAAATATAATATTTCAATAGAAAACCCTACCTGGCATATTAATTTTGGGCATGAGTCAGGCATATAGTCTTATCCCAGGGATAATTTTTTCCCATCCCCCAAATTTGAAACAAATATTTCAAATTGATGTAGCAGTTTGAGCAGCTTTCTTATACTTGTAAAACAAAATACACAACTTATTAAAATCCATAAAATGTTGCAAATATGTCTACAATATGGACTGTATCCTTGTTATTTTAACTTTAAATATTTTAAAAGGTTTTATTTATTATTTTAGTTGCGGTGTCACCTAGAAGCCCCAATCAAGTCCCTATTACTGTATTACACATACACACGCACACAGAAAAGACAGCATTCTATTACCATGGCCTTAAATTCAGACTTGAGTAAAATAAACCTATGCTATGTTTTGAAATTGCTGCTTCTCATCAAGAGCAGTTTCAGTCTCAGCCATGTTAAAGGGTCTGCAAAACTCAGAAAAAAACCTCTGTGACCCATCTGTAACTGTTCTTTTGATGTGATGCAGATGTGTATCCTACTTACAGTTACTACTTAGGTGTGTGCACGCCCAGTACACCAGAGCTGGAACTTTGCCTAGCCGTACCCGTAGTGGTGATGCTCACATCCTGCCGCCCTAACCCCTCCCCTGTCCATATAAGGGCAGCATCACCCTGACCCCCTCCTTTCCTTTGCATCAAAAGTCAGAAGTACAGACTCCAAAGCAGAGGGGACGGTGGGTGGGTCGTGGAATCTGCATCTGCATCACATCTCAAAGGACAACAGTTACAGGCAGGTAACCACTTTCATTTATTTATTTATTTTAAGTAGATGCAATTGTGTGTTCTACTTAGGTGACTCACAAGCAGTATTCACAGGAGGTGGGGCTTGGAGTTTATTTGTAAGGACTGTAGGATTGCCTTCCCAAAGTTTCCGTCTGATCTGGATGCAGCAGGAGTGGCATAGTGGTTTACAAAAGTATGCACAGAGGACCATCTGGCAGCCCTCAAATGTCTAATATAGAAATGCCACCTAGGAAGGCCATCAGCATTGCCCGGACTCTTTTGGGATGAGCTCACACCCTTTGAGGGGGCACAGCCTGGGCTAATTCATATGCTGCCATGATACAGGAAGTTATCCACCTGGATATAGACTCTGAAGAGACTGCTTGATCCTTCATTCAGTCCGCATATGAGACAAGCAAATGAGATGAGTAATGGAATGACTTGGTCCTAGCTAGATAAAAAGCTAAACATCACCTGACATCCAGTGTGTGTAGATGTTGATCTCTGGTGTTGAATGCTGCTTAGGGAAGAACACTAGTAAATACACAGCTTGGTTCAGGTGTTACTGGGAAACCACTTAAGATAAAAACTTGTGGTGTGGCCACAGGGGTATTTTGTCTTTAGCAAATTGTGTGTACTGGGGCTCCACCATAAAAGCTGCAACTCCCTCACTCTCCTTGCAGATGTTATTGCCGCAAGACAGAAAGTTGTTGCTAAGACAGTATTAAGGTCCCACAAAGGCTCTTTTACCTTTGGTGAAAACAAGTGACTCCTGTCAAGAACCTTACTGCCACCAACTTCCCATAGATGAGCAGATAAAATGCCAAAATCGCCATCAGGTGGACTCTCAGTGAACTAAGAACAAGACCAGGAAACTGAAGGTGTAACAAGTACTCCAGGACGTCCTGGAAACAAGCCAGCTTTGGATGAAGTCTCCAGGCTAACACCCATACTAAGAAGCCCGGTAGCTCTGTCACATGGCCAGAAGGTACCAAAGGTACAACGGAGGATGAGGTGGTAGAAGCCATGGCAGCAGCAAACTCTTGAACCAGTGGAGAGTCCGGGTCTGAGAAGCAAAATAGGTCTGATGCTGCCTGGTATGCCACTTGTGCGAAGACAGTCTGCACTAGTGCCGATGTCAGTCCTGGACTCGATGGACACCCCATTGCTGGAACTGGAGCCGACTGTATGGGCTCTGGCTGATCTCGGAGTGGTATCGGGGAGCGGTAGGAAGGACCTGCTCCAGCCCGCATGCCAGAGGGAGTACAGTGCCAGGCACCACTCCTCTTAGGAGACGAGGATAAGTCTCCCCAAGTCCTAGAATGGTTCTGTTTCTTTGTGTGGGACCTTTTCCCAGGGAAGGGGGAAATGACATCTCTTCCTCTTGAGGGAAATGGCAGAGCCTGAGCATGGAGTGGCATCATTTGCCAGAGCTGAAGGCAACTGCTGATGCGACAAGGGCCTTGGGGCTGAAGTGGGCCTCATGGCCTGCTCCACTAGGCGCTGCTTCAGCCGCCAGTCTCTTGCCACCTGACTCCTCTTAGCGAATAACCTGCAGATGGAACACTGCTCTTTAGTATGTCCCTCACCGAGGCAAAACAAGCACCTCATGTGGGGATCACTGTCGGGATGGCCTCTCCACACATGACAGACAATGCTTGAACCCTGGTGAGGGCATCACACAGGGCAGCCAACTACTCTAAACTTAACCTAAGGTATTACTAACTATTATATACAAGACAATTCTCTCAGGAACTGAGGCTCAAAGCATGAGGTGAGAAACACCACACAGATCATCTATTCTAGCCACGGGAGGTGAGAAGGAACTGAGGAAATTGGGGTGGCACCACCCTTATAAGGCCAGGGGAGGGTCTAGGGCCACAGGGCACGAGCGCTGCCTCAGTAGGTACTGTTAGGCAAAGTACTCTGTTTCCGGTGCACTAGGTGTGCACATGCCTAAGCAGGAAGGAAGCAGAATATATGGCTGCATCTACTCGAAGAAGAACAAGGATATACCAAATTTAAGGATCAGTTTTTACTCACAATATTTTGCTTTTGTACAGCAATGTAATGTTGGGTGGCTATTCAGCACTGAAGGACAAATTCAGACTAGGTTTTGGGAGATACAATGCCAGGAAGTTCACTGGAATTACACTTGTTTACACCAGGGTAGAATTTCATCCCTAGATCGTAACAGTTCCCTGTTTTAAAATGTTATAATAGTAATAATAGTTAGAGATCTCCAAATTGATTCTCCTGATCCTAGACAGATACTGTTTTATGTACAGTTATATATTATCAGTCCACTGTTATTGTATGCATGAAAGCTGGTCTTTATCATCAGACTGATAGCATTTTTATGAAATAATGCAACTCATTAACTACATTATCTAATAATGTTGCTCAAAGACATGCCAAGGAGATTTATAAAAGGGCAGGGATACTATATCAGTAGAAAATAAACAAATGCTGAACTTCCAACACCTCCAAGAAGGACATTCTTTGTATAAACACAAGATAGCTTTTGCATCAGATGGATAGCTTCTGAGTTGAAAGAAAAAATAATGAGGCATGTCTAAAAAACAATACTATAGGCAATAGGCTTCACCTCATTTTGCTAATAATTTCTTGCTACAAATCATATTTACATTTAAAACCAGTGAAAGATATTGATTGCCAAAAATAAAAAGGATATTGTCACTATTGTTAATCTATAGAGATGGATCCAACACTAAAAAAAAGTTAAACATTGTTACCAAAAGGTATAGCCTATCATTAAACACAGCTGGATAAGAACTTACAGTGCACTTTCCATATCTGCTATACTTCCTTCCATTTTCTGTCACTACATAGAGGTAAATAAAGTTGTCATGGGATCCTACTGCAAGTAAGGTGCCATCTACAATAGAAGTTTAAAAAATAGTGTAATAATGTTAACATACTGTTTTTTGAACTGGAATGATTTCATATTTAATACCAATGCATTATTATCAATCATACAATTCTGAATGAGCTAGTACCCAAGAGCATGGAACTAACTATACTGCTTTCCAACTGGTCTCCTATTTTTCCCCTATTTTCATGGTGATTGTGATTATGGGGTAAGCGAGTTTGCTTCCCACTATGTCTTGGATAAACAGGGTTATCATTGGACAGGGAACTAGGCTAGCTAATGAATCCTCAGCTTGCACTGGACTTCTGATAACGGCTGACAACATGCAGTCCTAAAGTTCTCAGTTTTGAGATTCACTGGAGATTATCTCCAAAGAACAGTTTATTTTTTTTTAAATGTAAAGTTATTACACATGAACCAATGCTAATCAAAGGCTAACTTCACAACATCTTCAACAAAGTCACCGTAGCACAGTATTTAAACATTACAAGCTGTTTTCTAATAACAATAAAGGTCCTTGGTACTATTAACCATTTCACTGCCTGGGAACATGATCAAACTCCTCTGTAGCACCAATGAATGTGAGTGCTCTGAAATGAAATGCTGTTGTTGGTAAATAGGGCAGCAGTAGAGATAAGTTTTGCCCAATTTACCTGGCATGTTATGCAACAGCAAACATGAAACAGGCTTGCCACACTTCTCTTCCATCCAGTCAGAAGAGAGGATTCAACTACTGCCCGTTTGTCAGACTCTCATAAGATGACCTTGGGTTTTATTCAGTAAGAGGATACCTTTCCACATAATCTCTACACAAATAATTAATAGCAAATGGCCTTTAGTTTGAGAGAGAGAGACACCTGAATTTAACTTTATTGTTTTTGTACTAATACATTTTAAAACTTAAGTGAATAATAAATACAATAAAAGCTGTTTAAGATCTTAAAACATTCAAAGAATGTTTGGGCACACTTAAAAAGTTACAAATACGTCTTAAAATCAAGCTTTCATTGCTTCATTTACCTTACCTTTACATTCAGTTTAGAGTTACTGAATTCCCCTGAAAGAAATGATGACATCACATCACAACCACCTATACAATGGGGTGCTGTGTTAGGCAACAGTGATGTTTGCAGAGATAGAACAGTAAATATCAAACTGAATTCCAGTGCAGGCAAAATGCAAATGAAGCTGTAATTGTTAATTTACACATGTATTTTGTTTATGATCTTAAGCAATTTTTTAAAAGCTCTGCAGTTCCCTATTATTGTAGGGTAATTTGAAGTGTAACACATTAATAGCTTAACAATTCCAGAGAAGTGCAGGAAAAACACCTATTTTATTGGAATTAAAACATGCAATTACAGTGAAGTGCCCAGAATACACAGGAAGTTTGCCTACCTACTGAGTAGCGCATCACTGAAAGCTGTTCATTACCATCAGTGTGTATTGAAACCAGGTCTCTTGTTTCTGCATCCAAAACAAACCACCTGTTAAGGAAAGAAGTTCTAGTGAGTGTTACTTCTACTTAAACAAAACCAAAAAACGTAAAAGCACTGCATTCTATCTCACTGCTTATTAGCATGATATCCTTTCAATGTACCGTATTAACTTGTTTTAATTAAACATTTTCTTTTCGGTTTCTAGGTTTACAAAATGATGTATATTCCAGTGACAGATATACAAGCATACCAAAATACCACTACATATATTTATTCTTGAATACAGAATAGTTATTCGTATATCATGTAATGTAGATGATACACATGCTGGTGAAACTATGATTTGACTACAGCAGGTCTCTGTTAGAGCTCACTATATTTTAGCTTCAATTATCATCTCACATTTTCACATACTTTCCGAAAAATTCACATTTGGGCCTGAAATTTTCCATCCTTGGTGTCTACCTGCAAATGAATTCTTCTGGAAAGTCTGAACAAAATCTCTGCAGTCATTTTTGAGTCCAAACTTCTTCCTCCCTCCCCCTCCAAAAGAAAAAAGTAAATAAAGCTACAGCTGAAGTTTGAAACTAGTCCTTTTTGCTTATTTAGAAAAAGTGGCTTTGATTTAAAAACTTGAATTGAAACTTGCATACAGAGTGGAGATGAGTAAGGGGGGGGGGGAGCGGAGGAGCATCTGCAGCTACCCATTTGAGGTAGAAAGTGAATTCTGATTTGATATTTTCTGCAATCCTTCATCTTTACTTTCTGTGAATATTTACATTATACATTCAAATAGAAAAATTCACAATTTACCCCATGTAGGTTAACTGTATAAGTTACCTGGCATTCCTTCTGTTCCCAGAAGAGGTGACCTATGTAACTAATTAAATTCAGCACAAATTGAATTTTACTAACATGATTGAATATACACTTCAAAATCCATGACATGTTTGTTAGTTCTGTAAATAGCATAAGTTACAGTGTGATGCACAAACAGTATCTTCTATTGTGATATTGCATGTTAAATATTTGAATAATCTGTAGACCAAGATTATTCAGTGGGGCAGTTTAGAAAGAATTATGAGTAATGAATGAATTTGAGACTATTTACTGTAGATAATCTGGTCATCTCCAGTACTGAGCATGCATAGTAGAAAAATGTCATTAAATCTACAGCGCCACACTTAAACACATACACACTGTATGCCAGTGTGAAGCTAGGTAGGTGGTTCAAGGAACTTAGAAGTTTTACTTCAAGATGAACAGGTCTACAGTAAGGAACTTAAATGGCCTGTTAACCAAGGGCTGTCTGTGACTGTCGGCACAGCTCTAAGCAAGGGGGTGGTGCATAAACTGCACTACTCTAGTTGTCTCAGGAGGCTTTGTGATTGAGAGAGGTACCTCTGAATCACAATTCCTCCCTTACTATTTCTTTGTACTGCAAGCAGCAGCCATGACTTCCACACACAGCACAAGTGGCGGAGTCGGCTCTAATGGCTGAAGATGGAAACCGCAGGCAGCTTAGGCAATATTCTTGTCATATATATATATATATATATTCTTGTCTATACCATCCAAGTTTCTGATAATATAATTCGAATTAGCAAAACTGCATCCTTTGTTATTAATGTATAGCATAAAACTTCTCCTCGGGCCGCCACTTGGACGTGGTGGAGAAGCTTGCGTATACTTAAAACCCTAGAGAGCGATGCGTCTGGAGTCCTGTACTCCTGGTACTGTACTCCTGTACTCCTCACCCATGGCGGTGAGGTCGAAGGCGAGGTACCAAAGTGCAGCCCAGCACAACACAACCCAGTATAAGACCTCAACGGCAGAACAGGTGGATGAAGCAGGCTGTGAGGGCAGATGAAGGCTGTAATGGAGGAGACCTCCCCAGTTGTCTTGGACCTCCTTGACACCGGACACAGGTGCCTATTCCGCCAAGATTTGTGTGGCTGCTGGTGCGCATCAGCTCCCCCACATTAAACTACTCAAACACAGGCTTCTTTCACAGGAAGAACTTTTTCCCTCCCCCTCCCCATAAAAATCCTGAGGCGATGGGGATAGGTGAAGGTCACCAGCAGTCTCTAGTCACAGACCCACATGCAGGCAGTGACCGCAAGATGGTTGTCATGTGCCTCTGGACTGGGTTAGGGGGCATTTTCAGCAGCAGTGGTCATGACTGAGCAGGCCATTTAAGGAACCCCTCCGCTCACCCCATGTGGAGAAGGGGCTAGAAAGGTGTCCCAAACACAGGCTATCCCACCATACCTGATTGGATACCTGCGTCCAGAGGGATCGCTCCCAATGCAGTGGAAAAGCAAAAATGTTTCTTGTCGCTTGGAATGTTCATACCCTACTAGACGAATCAAAAAGCGAAAGACGCAAACACAGAACAGCAATTGTTGCCCGAGAACTCTTGAGGTACAACACCAACATCGCTGCTCTGTACGAAACAAGACGTACAGATGAAGGCCACTTGAGGGAAGAGGGCAGCGGTTACACTTTCTTCTGGACAGGAAAACCAGCAAGCGACAGGCGAATACCCGGCGTTGGCTTTGCGATCAAGAGCCTTCTAGTCAACCGCTTGACTGATCTCCCCATCGACATCAATGAGCACCTTATGACCCTCCGCATCCAATTGGTCAATAAGTCATTTGCCACTATTATCAGTGCGTATGCACCAATACTTGACGCTGAAGAAGAACAGAAAGAATCCTTCTACACTGACCTTGATAAAATTTTTTCATCCATTCCAAAAACAAATAAAATAATCCTCTTAGGGGACTTTAACACAAGAGTTGGCTGAGATTCTAACGTATGGAATAGCACCATTGGGAAGGAAGGAGTGGGTAAGACCAATTCCAATGGCATCTTTCTGCCAATGTGCAGAGCACAACCTTGTGATCACAAATACAATCTTCAGACAAAGCAACAAGTACAAAACAACTTGGCAACACTCCCACTCAAAACAGTGGCACCTTCTAGACCATGTCATTGTAAGAACACAGGATCTAAGATGTCCAAATCACTCATATCATGAGAGAAGATGACAATTGATGGACTGACCACTGCCTGGTGAGGTAAGTCATGTCCATCAGGATTGCATGGAAACATAGAAATCAATCCAAATCATACAGATGGCAATACAACATCCAAAGACTTCAATCCTTAGTGCACCAAGAGAACTTCCAAACACTCCTCAGTGGAAAACTGGCCATATGCACACCTGGAAATGACAACACACGTGTCAAAGAAGACTGGGAATTCCTAAAACAGACCCTTCATGAGGTTTGTGAGAAATGCATTGGCCTTGCTACCTGCCGCCATCAGGACTGGTTTGACAATAACAACACTGAGATTACAGCCATTTCAAACCAGAAGAGAAAAGCTTTCTGTGACTGGCAAAACCAACCACTATACAGTCAGAAGCACAGCTCTTTCCATCAGCTCAAAGCTGAACTTCAAAGGAGGATCCAAGAAATCAAAAACAAATGGTGGGAGGACAAAGCAAAAGAAATCCAAACATTCGCTGACAGACATGAATGCGGAGCTTTTTTTGTGAGACAAAGACCCTGTACGGACTAAGCTCATGTGGTCTCACACTTCTGAGATCCGAAGATGGTAGTCCCCTTCTTAAAGGTAACGAATCCATCAAAGAGTGCTGGAAGGAAAACTAACAAAAGCTTCTAAATCGAGAATCAACTGTTACTGACGACACCATCGACTCCATCCCTCAAAACCCAATCTGGGAAACTCTTGCCAACCCACCAACACCTGAGGAGGTCTGCAAAGCAATTAAATAAATGAAGAACAATAAAGCACCAGGTCTTGATGGCATACCAGCTGTGGTACTGAGAGTCGGGGGAGAAACAGTAACTAACAAGCTTCACTTGCTGCTCCTCCAAATCTGGTGCACTGAAGAAACCCCTGCTGAGTTACGTAATGCTACATCGTCACCATTTTCAAAAAGGGAGACAGGGCCGACTGTGGCAACTATCAAGGCATTGCCCTCCTCTTCATCGCTGGGAAGATTCTTGCTATAATCTTACTGAATCGCCTGCTCCCTCTTGCAGAGGAAGTACTTCCAGAGTCCCAGTGTGGCTTCAGACCATCACGAGGCACAAGTGACCTGATTTTCGCAGCCAGGCAGATGCAGGAAGACTGTCAAGAACAACACCAGCAGCTGTATATGGCCTTTATCGATCCGACCAAAGCCTTCAACTCTATCAACCGTGAGGCTCTGTGGAAAATCATGTCAAAGTTTGGCTGTCCAAGAAAATTTATCACCATTGCAAGACTCCTCCATGACCAGACTGACTGCCTCCATCCTGCGCAGTGGTTCTACCTCTGAGCGCTTTGTCATCCAAACTGGCCTGTGTCCTGCCACCCATCCCTTTCTCCATTTTCTAAGCAGCTATGAAAACATTAACCCAAGACCGTCTACCACAGGGCATTGGAATCCAATATCGGACTGATGGCAACCTCTTCAACCTTTCTCGTCTCCATGCCAGAACTAAAGTAATATCGGCAACAATAAACAAAGTCCAGTGCACAGATGATTGTGCTGTAGTTGCACTCTCAAAGGAGGATTTATAAACAGCCCTTAATTGCTTCGCGAAAGCTTACAAAAGCCTACGGCTAACTCTGAACATCAGCAAAACAAAAGTTCTCCACCAGCCAGTCCCTGGTCAATCATCAGACCCAGCAAGGAGGATCTACATCGACAAAGAAGAACTGGACAATGTAGAACACTTTGCCTATCTTGGCAGCCATTTCTCACAGAGGGCAGAACAGATGACGAGATTCAGCACAGAATTCACTGTGCCAGCCTTGCCTTTGGCAGGCTGTCTCGCCGGGTGTTCAACAATCACAACGTCAGAACGCATACTAGACTTTCAGTTTATAAAGCAGTTGTAATCCCAGCTCTCCTCCATGGCTGTGAAACTTGGCTGACCTACAGAAAACACCTGAAAAACCTGGAACACCAGCACCAGCACTTTCTTTGGAAGGTCCTCATCATAAAGTGGAGGATCATCACACTAATG